GAACCAGAAGAACCCGACTGAGGAGAACATGGACGTTTAATTAAACATTAGCACTTCATAGGGTTTCATCATATTTCCAAAGAGCCTTTAATAAACCGATAAAAGATTGTTTCTTGTGACAAAGTTTCAGATGTTTTACTGATTCCATAGAACATTCAGAGTTTTAGGAGTCATTTGAAAGTCAGCTTTGTCCTGATGAACATAGTCTTCAGAGGTGGATGGAGACTCTTGTTCCTGACTGTCAGTGATGGTGTTGCATGTTGTGGGTCCAGTTTAATTCCATTTCAGACCCGTCTCCTGGCGGACTGTTGATCCTGGATGACTGAGAGCTTCACATTTCATGTTCATAGAGAGTCTCAGAGACGTCACAGATCCGTGTTAACGTCCTCTTTATGTTTCGTTCTTTTCAAACCGCCACAGTTGCTCCGATTCATCCTCGTGGGGACATAAACGTGTTCAGCAAATGTCATGAGAATCCATTCAACAGTCAAAGAGAGATCTGGCCCGAAACCACAAATGTCAGCCTGACATTCAACCTGAGAACCTCCGACATCTGAACCCAATCTCCACTGCTTGTGGAGATTTTTTTTTCCTTCTTCTCTCCGTTGAGCCGACGGACTGATGTCGCAAGCTTCCACTGAGGAATGTTATTTCAATCAGCGCCCACGGCAGCTCGCGCTACTGAAGTGCAGCTCCGGGGGGTTAATGGGGACGCGGCGGCTCATTGTCGCCCCCGAGCCTCCCGCCAGGTTAATCCGTCCACAGCTACAGACGCAGCCAGATAAATTCAAAAACAAATCCTTTTTTTGAGCCATTTAGACGCTTAATTTACAATGAAACCCCGGCGGGGCGCGATTAGTATTCCGGGAGGGTGTAAAAATATTAGCCGCTCTCTGCAGTAATTATGCGCCGATTGTTCTGGACCGGGTCTTCTGCCAGAGCCACGTTTACGGCAGGTGACTGGAAACAGGAGGCTGGTTGGTATCGGAGGCTTATCTGCTCTCGTCACATTTCACTGTAACTGTAGAATTAAAGCGTTACGTAACCTTCAGCTCTTCGTAATCGTTCTTTGGGCGTCTTCGAAGGTTCGGCGTAATTGTGAAGCCGGGGTCACATCTCACCTGGCGGGACCTCAATTACCGCGGCATTGTGATAGAAAGCAGGTTTGTAATTAATACTCGGGACACGGGGAGGAAAAAAAAAAAAAAAAACTCACATGTGATCTCTGGATGGGATTAAAAAATCACTGAATGGAGCATGAAGTATTAAAAAAAGAGAAAAAGTCACCCCTGGAGGGATTAATCCGTCATGAATGTGGATTTATCTGCCACCGAGAATGAAGCTTTTTCCCAATTGCTTCTCAAAATTAATGCTGAGGAAGGAAAAATGTGCTCAAGTTTAAAAAAACCACAGAAATATCTTCATACATCTGACATCTGACACCAGAATCCATTCATGAATTCTGCAGCACGCCGCCTGCATCGCTGTTTAATTTAGCGTCTTTTTCAAAAAAAAAAATTTGCCTCTTATCGCCGACTCCCCGCTGTCCCGTACACAACACCGGCATCTGTTTCTATTTAATTTGCTGTTTGAAATCTAATTTTGCAGATCTCGTTAAGGGCCCAGAGGCAGAAGAAGCCAGCCAGCAGCTTCGCGAAAGAAAAAAAAACAAAACTGAAAAAGTTGGAGGCGAACAGCGAGACGGAGGAGACAGAACGGAGCGAATGAAACGAGCGGATCGATGGCGAGGCTGCCGCAGTGCTGCTTGTTGTGATGTTTTCACTCTAAAAGGTTAAAAATTCAAAAGAAGACGGCGCGATGCAGCATGAAAACATGGAAGGACCAGGCTGGGCTGGCTCCAGTTTAAATCTTTAAAAATGGGATGATACAGTACATTTGGTGTTTTTATCTTCTACCTCTAAACATCTACACGTCTGTTTCTACATGTTGTCATGCAGCTCATCTGGCTTCAGCCAAAAAGCAACTACTGCTGCTGAAAAATGTAGTTAAA